CCCCCCCCCCCCCCCGAATATGCCCCTCCTCATCTCCCCTCCCACAGAGCCAGATCTCCGTGCTCCAGAACCGAATTGAACAACTGGAGCAACTTCTGGAAGAGAACCATGAAATCATCAGCCACATTAAGGATTCTGTGCTGGAGCTGACGGCCAACGCAGCCGCGGAGGGCGGCCAGGCCGCGGTGTTGCCCCTCCGCCTGCCCAACGGCTCCTGGGTGCTGCCCGCGGAGAACCGGCCCAGCTTCTTCTCTGTCGCCTCTCAGGACTGTCAGTTTGCACTCAAGCCCAGTAACCAGAAAGCAGATCTGCAGGTAAGGGGAGTGCGGGGGGGGGAGGGCAAAAAGTGAGAGGGGGTAGAATGGAAGAGGTGGGTTGCAAGCTGAGCGGTGCTTTTGATGATGAGGGCAGCCAGCAGTTAAGGCAGGAGAGGAGAGGCCCAGAATCTGATGGCGGGGTGGGAGTGAGGGTCCTAGCTGGGATTTCCCCTGCGGCGAGTTGGCAGTGGCAGAGAAAAGCCAGATGCAGGTATGAAGGGACCATTTATCCTGCTCACTCTTCCTTTCCCAGATGTTGGCAGTGTCCGCGTTGCTCCCCTATGACAACCAGGACGGTGGGGTGTGGAAGCAAGGCTTTGATATCAGCTATGAGCCCCACGAATGGGACACAGAAGTACTGCAAGTATTTGTGGTGCCACATTCTCACAATGACCCAGGTAAGCACATCAGAGGCTGGTGGCCAGGATGGTTCCCCTTCCCTCCAACCCACTTCTCAGTCGAGGCGTAGCTGTGCCACGTCTGTCTTGACAGCTTGGGTAGTTTGCATGAGCACCAAAGCCAGGAAGATGCATAGTGGCTACAGGATCAGACCGCAGCCAGGAATACTATCGGACAGTTTTAAGTGCCGGCTGTTGGACAGTCACTTGTGAATGGTGATACAGGGAAGGTATCAGAACAGAGAAGCTCAGAGCGCACTCACTGCGTACATGAGGAAGAGACAGATAGCTGGCAAAAGACCTCAGTGTATTCTGTACAAGAGGGAGATTCCAGGGCTTTCACCAGAGCAAATAGCAAAGCAAAGTGTTCTGCTTATATACTGGCCCATAATGCTTACAGGACCCTGTGGACAGTTTACAAGTTACAGTGGGGTCTTGACTTAAGAAAGGCTCGAGTTAAGAACATTTTGACTGAAGAACCACTCTCATAGGAAAATATTGACTTAAGTACTTAGATTTGAGTTAAGAACTGAAAAATAACCACGTGGGAGGCAGGGAAAGTGCAAAAAGTGAACTTTCAGTTAACTGTTGGCCAGTGAAAAGGGTGCCTGTCTGCTTCCTCACTCCTCCCAGCGTTTAGAGAGTGGATTGGGAGCCAGTCTTCAGACTGCCTGGTACTGTCCTGCCCGGACTGTATTTTCCCTGCCTTCCCTGAACCTTTCTTGACCTAAGAAAAAAAAGAAACAAAATATCCCCCTCTAGTGGGCGAAGGCGGAATAGCAGCTTCCCATTAGTTTCTATGGATGGAAAAGAGCAGATGCGGATCAAATGGTTTTCAATGCAATCCTATGGGAAATGCAGATTTGACTTGAGAACTTTTTGTCTTGAGAACCGCCTTCCAATACGGATTAAGTTCTCAAGTCAAGACCCCACTGTATACATTTACCCCCTCCCCCCCTCAATGAGGTGAGTACTCATTTTACTAACCTCGAAAGGATGGGTCAACCTTGAGACAGCTACCTGGGATTGAACCCCAGGTCATGAGCACAGTTTTGGCTGCAGTACAGCAGTTTAACCACTGCACCAGGAAGCTCCCTCCAGAGCAAACAAATGTGATCAGCTACAAACATTTGGAATCAAAAGCTCGGCACTTCCAGCAAGCAAGGAAGGAAGGGAAGCAGGATCCAGCTTCACATCTCCATAGGGCTGAGATGCTCAGTAGCATCTATGGATCATCCATGGAAGGAAACCACTTGCTATAAAAGAGAGAGCGAGAAAGAGAGAGAAAAATGGGAGGAAGAGCAGACCAACAACAGTTACTTTAGAGAAGGCACCAAGCCCACTGTCATCCTATAATTTTCTTGACTAATAGTGCTATTCTTTATTTATTCATTCATTCATTTAAAACATTTTAACCCTACCTTTCTCCTTTAAAAGGACCCAGGGCAGTTTACATCATTAAAAGACAATATTTCAAGCTAGAAACTGTATACAAATACTAAAAAGGATCAAGCAGATACCACAAAATATGGAACTCTTCATGAAAATATCTCAGATCTTCAGCAATAAAGAAAAGTCTCTAGCAATTGATTTTAGAAGAAGGAGGGAATGTTACTGTTGTCATATGAAAACCATATATGAAGAATGAGAAACAATCTGTTGTACTGCTGATTGAGGCAAGCAAGGGCTTGTTAAACATTGGATAGATGGAGGAGACTCAAGTTGGTAATGTCAGCACCATTATTTTAAAAAATGGATGTGCCAACACAGCATTGTTTACAGTTATTCAAGACGATGTTGACTTTTGTTCCATGTGACCACAAACTTTTATAAATTTATCATATGCAAAGGTAAAACACAACACTAATGAGGCAAATTGGCCGCTAACCTGATACAGTAACTCAGTCTGAACTGTCACAACTGAGTGGTCAGATTAGTCTGTTGTTCTGTTGGTTCAGTGCTTTGCTTTAATGCTCTTTGACACTTTCACTACGGCAACTTATTTTCTAAGCAGTTCTGCACTTGTTTAAAAGTGTTATGACAGCAGTAACTTCCCACCGGCACAAAAGTATCAGTTTGTCCGCTTAAAAAGTCATTGTGTTTACACTGATGGTGTTTGCTTTCGAGTGCCCCTGTCCTACTTGGATTTGTCGAAATTTAAAGATTTGTAGAATTTGTAAAATTAGAATTTGTTCGTTCTCGGTCTCCTGATTGGAACTGAAAGTACGGAACTCTTATAGCTGAAAGACAGGGCTGTAACTGGGGCAAGAAAAATGGGGCTGTGCCCCAAGAGTAGACCTTTGGTCTAGATGGGCGGGGTATAAATCTAATAAAATAAATAATGTAGAAGTCTAAAGTCTGCTGAGGCAGCCCTTTTGTTCAAGCTTGCCTGATGCCTGTGGCCTGCAGCAGGAAGCAAAGTGCTACCCTCTCAGCTACTTCCATGATGATGCCCAGTCCCTGAAGGAGAAACACAGACCTGAAGGGTTTCTGCAGTGAGAAAAGAGAAGCATTGCTTCCAATCTCTCTCTCTCTCTCTGTATGTTTTTTTTAAAATGTTGGTGCCAAGAGGAGGTTCTCAGAACCAAGCTTTGATTGGAAGGGTAATCTCAGAGGTTGTCTATTTTGGAACACAGTTGACACCTCATCATGCCTTGGTCTCCAGGACCTCCCCTTGAAACTAATATTAAAGAAAAGCTGATAGTGCTGCGGAGCCCGGGCGCCTTGATTCAGGAAGCGTGGGGGCTCAGTTGTTCTTGCGACGGTGTGCAGTAGAGGCTTGGTTATTTTTCCAAGCATTCACAAAACTATGCTTTGTGCCTGCAATATTTCTTGAACATATGGGAATCAGTGTAAGTTCTTTACAAAGCAATCATAGCCTAAGTACAAGAATACCTTCAGAACAATGCTTCGTATGAATTGCACGAGAGTTTTTTAAAGTACCGCAGCATTTTTGAATTGTATTTAACAAAAGAGAAATGAGTCGTCAAGGACCACAGTGGCGTTCCTTGAGTTCCAGATGCTAGAATCATTTCTGATTCTGTATGTTAATTTTACTATCTAATTGGAGTTGTTGCTGAAATGTCATTGGTAGATTAAAAGGAAAAGACTGAGGTGAGCGATCATGCTGAATGAATCGTCCTTGCCATCAGCTTTGACATCTTTTAGAGAGGTAGTCATGTTAACACATTTAGGCCAAAAAGAAAGAAAGAGCCCAAACAAAAAGTAGTACTTTTAAGACTAAAAACATTATTTCAGAAAGAGATTTTGTGAATTCCTGTTGCCGTCTGGCAGAAGATGTAGAACAATTAAGACTCGGACCACACATTTTCTGAATAGTTTTTATCCCAGAGCTATAATTGCAATTAATAATGAGCTTAAAGACCACCAGTAGTGAATAGTTAGTTGGACTGTGTTACTTGGCCTGCGGTGTAGATGTTTGTATTTTTGGTGGGGGACTTTTAGTGGGTGGGGAGTGTTGGGGGATTTTTTAGTGGGTGGGGAGTGTTTGGGGAATTTTATGTGTGTGCATGTGTCTGGTCTCTGGGTGTCTGTGAATTTCATTGTATGGGTATACTGTGTATATACTTACAATGACAATCAATCAATCAATCAATCAATAAATGAATAAATGAATAAATGAATAAATAAATAAATAAAAATATAATCCACTTGTTTGACACATTGGTAGCACAGAATCTAGGCCACAGGTTTGGATATGGTATGCTGTATATTTGTTGAATTATCCTGTACATTGAGAAGAGCCTGTTGTCAACACCAGAAAATATTTTTCTGAGAGAAACCTGACCCCTTGAGGATGCAGAGCTAAAAGCATCGTGAGCTTGAGTTCTTAGGCAGTAGTCAGTCACTGGATTCAGCCAGCAGTAATGCTTGTTTTTCTGCCCACTCCTCTAGGGTGGATCAAGACATTTGACAAATATTACTTTGACCAGACACAGCACATCTTGAACAGCATGGTGGTGAAGCTGCAGGAGGACCCACGGCGGCGTTTCATCTGGTCTGAAATCTCCTTCTTCTCTAAGTGGTGGGACAACATCAGTGCCCAGAAACGGGCTGCTGTGCGCAGGTAATTTTTTTTTTTGGGGGGGGCTCCATGCCTTGTGCTGTTACCTGTGTGAAGATGCCAAGGACATCAGAACTGTATAGCAGAATTTCCGCAATGTAGCCATGCATCCTGGCCTCCTGCTTCTTAAAGAGAAAGCTGTCAAGAAAAAAATTACTTGCCTTTCAAAGATGGTAGTAATCCTAGAAGAACTTATACATTTATTGAACTCCCCTGTGAAAGAAATGAAGGCATTTGAACAGGCATCGGCAGGAAAGCTTTGCTTCCACACTGTTCACATTGGTATGTTGTTAGCGTTAGAAGTCTCTGAGCAAAGGTGGAGGCCCTGAAATTTTAGACTTTTAAATGAAGAAGATGAGAGAAAGGAAGAGACATTTCTAGTGAAACGGACAAAAGACAGTAAGAGATGGTCATTTCTGAATTCAAACTCTATAGAAGGGGTAGAAAGTACATATTGCTGGGGTAGGAAACGGAGTATCCATTGCTAACGTTGACCTCTGCATGATGTGATATTTCAGCATTTCATGGACTGCCCTTTTATGCTTGAAATCGGCCTTTAAGTCATATGCCTGCCTTCCTCAATCTGAAGTGTGAAGGGTAGCCATGAGAGGCCTTCTCACTGGTGGCTCCGCAAATTATGGCATGACATTAGAAAAGCTTCCTTGATGCCAAATGTTGTTTTGTTGCTTGAGTGGGGTTGTTTTTTTTTTTGGAAAAAAAATTATGCCAGATCTTTTAAGAGTTGTTTTTATTTATGTACTTTATCTCTTGAAGATATTGCAGTATTTACATTGTGTGTATTTTAGATCCTATAATAGTAATACATACATACATACATACATACATACATACATACATACGTACATACGTACATACGTACATACGTACCTGCGTGCGTGCGTGCGTGCGTGCGTGCGTGCGTGCGTGCATACATAGCCTTTCTCCTCAAGAAGGCTCAGGGTGACTTACAGTATTAAAACACATATAAAGACTGGATGGAGAAAAAACAAACAGCATTCCTCCATTTCCCCTTAGGCAGCCAATTACTGAGAAGAAGCTTACCTGAACAGAAAGGTCTTTGTCTGCTTGCAGAAGGACAGCGAAGAGGGTGCCAACATGAGCTTCTGTGGGAGGGAGTTCCATAGCTTGAGAGCAGCAACAGAGAAGACTCTCTCTTATGTCCTCACCAAACATTCCTAACAGAAAGAAAGGCCTCCTTCATTATACACCTTATTGGAAGCCGCCCAGAGTGGTCGACCAGACCAGATGGGCTGGATATAAATAAAATAAATAAAATAAAATAAATTATTTAAAAACCCAAGCCGGCTCTTAAAGAGAAATACAGCCTTTCAGATAACTTGGACCCAAATAAATCATTTAGGGTTTTATAGGTCAAACCCCACGTGCTGAATCGTGCCCCAAAACACGCAGGCAACCAGTGGAGCTGTTGTGACAGGGGAGTTAGCCCTGTAACCATCTCCAGTTAACAATCCAGCCTGCCATTTCAGACCTGCTGAAGTTTCTGAGCACATGTCCTGCCACTTGCTTGTTTTTAACTCCTGTTATTTGTGTATTATTCAACGCTGGTACTCATGTTTTGAGTTTGGGTCTTAGGATTTCAAAAGAGTCACATGTTGGGTTGTTGTTGTTTTTAAAAAAATGCTAGCCAATTGTAGTGACAAGGATCTTAGTTTAGAGCTCCATCTTGTGGCTATTAAGGGGTACAACAGTGGTGCTTAGCCTAACCAAACATTATTCTGAGTTAGCCCTGTAACCATCTCCAGTTAACAATCCAGCCTGCCATTTCAGACCTGCTGAAGTTTCTGAGCACATGTCCTGCCACTTGCTTGTTTTTAACTCCTGTTATTTGTGTATTATTCAATGCTGGTACTCATGTTTTGAATTTGGGCCTTAGGATTTCAAAAGAGTCACATGTTGGGTTATTGTTTTTTAAAAAAAATGCTAGCCAATGTTATAATATTTTGGGACCCGAGATAACTTTTTAAAATAAAGTATCCAGTTAATAAATTAATAGTACAGAGAGCTATACGTGAAAATAAATGACCCTTGCTTTAGCGTTCCTGACATTTGCCTCCTGTCCCTAGGCTTGTAGGCAACGGTCAGCTGGAAATGGCAACAGGAGGCTGGGTGATGCCAGATGAAGCGAACTCCCACTACTTCGCCATGATTGACCAGCTCATTGAGGGTCACCAGTGGCTGGAGAAGAATATTGGTGAGTCCCTTGGCCTTAGTCAAGTAGAGGGTAGCAGTTGTGATGTGACTTGACCAGGCAGAAGAAGCGCTAGTGAGGCTGAAGGAAATAGTTTTGATTGAACCAGACCGGACTTGATTTTGAGTCTCAAGGCGTCTCTGTTTCACAGAGCCTTAAAGAGCAGGCTCCCCGGTGTATATCGAAAAAGGCAGGTTACAGCGATGGAAACATTTGCCCTACAGAACCGAGATGATTTTGGAGATTGGCTTTAATGGCCACAAGCCACTGTCTGTTAAGTTTTTGAAAATCCGAAATTCCCGCGCTTGTATCTCTTTTTGTGCGAATGAGATACGTTAATTTCTTCAGGAACTTTTCAGTATTGTTTTTCCCCAAGGCGAAATGAGTAATTGCCTCTAACCGGATTCTTAATTAAAACGCCGTGTGTTCCATGGAACTTTCTCTCCAGTGACAATAGATGGCAATTGGCTTTCGTGGAATACATCCCATTGGATGAAGTACGACCTCCTTCACAGCAAACCTAGCAGGAGCGGGTTCTAAATATGGGCCATCTCTATTGTTTCCAGTCTGGGGGCCACTCCCTCCTGTAAGGCAGTGGTGGGAATTCATCGTTGTTGTACTACACCTCCCACCAGCCCTGGCCAGTGGTGGAGAGTGTTGGGAGTTGTAGTCCAGCACATTGGAAGGCCACACGTTGCTCAGGCCTGCTGTGAGAGCTGCTTCTATCCCTTCCCCCCAAATACTTGGCACCCCAGGCTTCCCCCCCACCAGTTTCTCCAGCTGCAATAACAAAATAGTTCTGCCAGAAAACCTTGGCGCGCTTTTGCTGCTGCCCATCAGAGTTTGTATTACTAGCTTTATAGACCACGGGTGTGATTCCATGGAAGGCACCTTCCTGTCCTCCCATTGCCCCCCCAACCCCCGGACTGCCTGCTTGTATGTTTTCACAGCAGCATCTATCCCAATTTGCCCCCCCTCTGGACTTCTTCCCGATCCAAGGAACCTAAGGGAGGGAAAAGGAGATAGGTTGCGGCCTCAGAGCTTCTCAAACTCCCTCACTGATCTCACAGTGGGAGGCAAAGCAAAACTTGGACCGAGTATGCAGAAGGAGGCCAGGATCTGTTCTCAGTCATCCCAGAGTGCAGGACACGTAATAATGGGCTTAAGCTACAGGAAGCCAGATTTGGGCTGAATATCAGGAAAAACATCTTAACAGTTAGAGCAGTACGACGGTGGAACCAGTGACCACGAGAAGTGGGGAGTGCTCCAACATTGGAGGCATTCAAAAGAAAATTGGACAACCCTCTGTCAGGTCTGCTTCGATTTGTTTTCGTGCATTGAGCAGGGGGGTTGGGGTTTATGGCCTTATAAGTTCCTTCCAACTCCATTATTCCATGATTAGAGCTACCACCCAGCACTCCTGCATTGGGCCTTATCCCCTCCTGATCCTGCAAGGCCAAGGTTTTGGGGGGGAGGACAGGTTGGCAAGGAAGAGGAGTGGCTTGAGAGAAGGGCCTGGTCTTTGCCAGTAGGGACAAAGCCCCCTGATAGGGGTGGCGGGGAGTGATTTGGAACGGAGAGGGAAAACATGGGAGACGGTTGCCTTTCTGAGCTGTGGCAGGGTTGCCCCCTCTTCCTTTTGGGACAGAAGGATTATTTTAGCCCTCCTGCTTGTAGGAGAGGAGGCAATATGCTGCTGGTTGATTGTGTCTGGAATCCCAAGGTCAGACGAGGGGTTTCTAGGCACAGCAGTGTTTTTATTTGTATAGTTTCCTGGGCTTTCTAGTCTGTTGCGTAGGGCACCTCCTCTCTCCCTACTCCCTAACCTGCTGTGAGCTCTGAGTGAGGCGCAGCCCTCTGCCACACACGCCGTGGTCAAGCCGTGGTCTCCTTCTCTGGGCATGGTGTCCCGCTTGTGGGGTCTATTGATTTGGCAATAAGTTGCACTGCATCCTATGCCGTGTCAGAGGGATGGAGAGGTTATAGGCACTGTGGGATTCCACTTTGAATTCCTGCCCCACCCCACCCATTCAGTGAGAGGGAAATTAGGGGTGCACGATCAGAGGCTGCTGTGACTGGCTGCGGCTGGAGCCTGGATTAATAGGAGATGTGATGTCCGTCTGCTTCCGGCCCAGCCAGACAGATCCTGCCCACAGCTTTGCCCCACGTGGGCTCTTAGGCTGGCATTTCTAAGATGTCCGGCGAGACTGCAGACAAGCCCCAGGAGTGGGACGCCCAGTTCCTCAACTACCAGCGCCTCTTTGACTTCCATTTACACAGAAACGGAGAGAGCCGTATTGGCCCATCAGAAGAAAAGGAAAATCCATAGGCAAGCAGTGTTTTAATATGGGGAGAGCCTGAAGGAGCTTTTTCAGTAATCCCCTCCCCCGTTAACACCCCCCCCCCCAAAAAAACTAATTTGGGGTGATTGGAGCATGGTGACCACATGCAGAGTCCTCGGAGGGCCAAGGATGGCCCTGTGTGGTCCTTGGTCCTCTGGAGATTTCCCATCCTTCCCTTGATAGGACCAGATACAATCCCAACATAGCGTGCAAGCACTGAGTTCGCCAGACCTCTGCATCCTGATGGTGAAAACATGGGACTCGGGTGAGGGTAAGGGAGAAACAAGGAGGCCTGAAGACTGGCTAGACCTTTAAGTGACTCCTCCCCAAGATGGTGCCGGCCTCCTTGCTGAGTCACCGGTAGACGCGCAGGTGTCGAGTTACACATAGCAGTGTTCTGGAGACCTCAAATAATTGCAGAATGGCTTAAGAAAAGTAGGGGGCGGGCTCTGGATTTTCTGCTCTGCAGTCTGAAATTCACACATTTCATTTACTGTCTTGTTTTGCTCAGCAGTTTCCAAAATACAACTCTTGCCTGCAAATAACAGAACTGAAAGAGATGAGGATGGGAAGGGCTATTCACAGCGTCTCCTTAACCAAGTGTTATTATAATTTTTAAAAAAACTAAAAGTCTTCTTCCATTTCCAGCCAAGGGTTTTGGTCATGTTATTGAGCTACGAGAAGAGGCTGGCAGGAACAGGGCTGGCTTCTCTGCCAAGCTCCTTTTGCTGTGTCCAGCATAGGAAGGCGGGCAGGCCAGTGATGTAATCCCTCCCAGGAAGAGTCAGGATTTTGGAAGAATGGCTGTGGCCTCTTGTTACCCTTCAGAGAGTAGACCAGTGGGTGGGGGCCTTCCTCGTTGGCTCCTGTGCACAGAATAAGGCTTTTTGTGGCCGGCATGGGGAGGAGGTAAAGGAGGTAGCAAATGCTGGAATTGCTCCAAGAAGTTCTATCCCTCTTTATTCCTGGTTCCCTAGGGGTGACGCCACGCTCTGGCTGGGCCGTGGATCCCTTTGGCCACAGTGCCACCATGCCTTATCTTCTGCGCCGCGCCAACCTGACCAGCATGCTCATCCAGCGGATTCACTATGCCATCAAGAAGCACTTTGCAGCGACACAGAACTTGGAGTTCATGTGGAGGCAGAGCTGGGGTGAGATGGGGATAGAGGCGGGGGGGCTGGGGGAGGCTTTGGCGTCAGTTCTTTGCCCTGCGTTGCCTGGCACGGCTCTCGCGGGCAGCCAGGCCTGGCCCCTAGAGAAGGCGGCCAGTGCCTTCGTGCACAGACCAGGAGGTGTGGCGGGTGCTCCCTTCCCTGCAGGATCTGGCTGGGCTTGTGACCCCCCGTGGGCCCCTTTTGTGGTCTTCTGGCACCGTGGGGCCTGCCGAGGGCTGACGAAGGGGTGGTTGAGGCACCTGTCTCTGAAGGGGGCGGAGGCTGACCCAGGCCCCTTCTGGAGCACAGAGCGATGCTGGCTTTGGCCTCCTCAGATCCTGACTCCAGCACCGACATCCTCTGCCACATGATGCCCTTCTATAGTTACGATGTGCCCCATACCTGCGGTCCTGACCCAAAGATCTGCTGCCAGTTTGACTTCAAGCGCCTGCCGGGCGGCCGCATCAACTGCCCCTGGAAAGTGCCCCCCAAAGCCATCACCAGCTTCAACGTGGCTGAGCGGTGAGTTCTCCTGGCTGGGCTCGGTCCTCCCACCCATCATTCCCGGCCTCTTGGGACGGCTCCCAACACCTCCTGTGTTGCGGGCAGTGGCCCTCGAGGGGCTGGTGGAGTGGCTGCGGCGGCGGCTGCTTTCCGGGCTCCTCATTCGACTCTCCCTCCGACTCCTTCAGGGCACAACTCTTGCTTGATCAGTACCGGAAGAAATCCAAGCTCTACCGAACCAAAGTGTTGCTGGTGCCACTGGGGGACGACTTCCGCTACGACAAGCCCCAGGAATGGGACGCCCAGTTCCTCAACTACCAGCGCCTCTTTGACTTCCTGAACGCCCACCCGGAGCTCCACGTGCAAGTAGGGCTAGGCTTAGGGTTGAGCCTGGACGGGCATGAGGGCTGGGATGGCTGCTTTAGGGGAGAAGGAAAAAAGACTGTGCAGTTAAGGGAAGGGCTGAGAAACCTGAAGCTCCACGTGCAAGTAGGGCTAGGCTTAGCTGTGGGGAAGACGTGGGGTTGAGCCTGGACGGGCATGAGGGTGCACGGGATGGCTGCTTTAGGGGAGAAGGAAAAGAGACTGTCCAGTTAAGGGAAGGGCTGAGAAACCTGGCACCTTTCAGACAACGACCCCCCAGAACCCTGATCCAACCAGCCGTCCTGGTTGGGGCTGATGGGAGTTTTAGTCAGAATATGAGAAGAGCGCCAGGTCGCCCAGGCCTATGGAGGTGGGGCAGCCTCCTTTCCCTCCACCACAGGGTAGAGGCCAGGGCCTTGGGGGAGCTCCCTTTCGCTCGGCTGTTCCTCCCACCGGCTGGTGTGCTTTTTGCACTTTCTGATGCTCCGCTTGTCATTCTTCTGCAGGCACAGTTCGGGACCCTCTCAGATTACTTTGATGCGCTGTACAAGCAGATGGGCATTGTGCCAGGCATGCACCCACCTGGCTTCCCAGTAGTCAGTGGGGATTTTTTCTCCTACGCAGACCGCGAGGATCACTACTGGACAGGCTACTACACTTCCCGACCCTTCTACAAGAGCATGGGCCGTGTGCTAGAGGCCCATCTCCGGTGAGTAGCCTTCAGAAGAGGGGCTGGGGCAGCTGCCAAGGCAAAGAGGGAAGGGGAGGAGGCTTTAAGCCCGGCTCGGGAGAGGAGGCTCACAGCCTCTGCCTCTTCTTCTCTCCTCCAGCGGTGCTGAGATCTTGTACAGCTTAGCTCTGAGTCATGCTCGTCATGCAGGCATGGACAGCCGGTACCCACTCTCAGACTACGCCATGCTCACGGATGCACGGCGCAACCTGGGGCTCTTCCAGCATCATGATGCAATCACAGGCACGGCCAAAGAGGCAGTGGTGGTGGACTACGGCATCAGGTGTGTGCCAGGAATGACTTGAATAAGGGGGAGGCCAGCAAGGAGCCCTTCCTAGCCAGGCCGTGTGCCTCAGGCCCTGAGCTCCGTTTCCCTTCCCATCCTCCCTCTTCCAGGCTGCTCCATTCTCTGATGAATATCAAGCGCGTGATCATCAATGCTGCACATTACTTGGTGTTAGTGGACAAGGACGTCTACCACTATGATCTGGCAGCTCCCTTCCTTGGCACAGTGAGCAACTGTCTGCCCCCCTCCCCTTTGTGGCCGGAAGAACTGGTCTAGAAAAGGAGAGAGAGGCAGGGACTGGTTCCGTGCGTGCGTGCATGCGCACATATGGGGGACGCAGCTTTCTTGGGCTCAACCAGGCTCTCGCCGGCACTTCCTGACCCCTCGGGGGCTCTGAACAGCTTCTTTCTTCCAGGATGAAACTCGCTTGAATCAAGATTCTCTGCCAGAGAAAACCGTCATCAAGCTGGAGGCTGCGCCCAGGTGGGAAAGGGGAGCCCAAGGCTGTAGGGATGGGAGGAACCTGGACCTTTGAATCCCAGTGGGTTGGTGGTTCCAGGTTGGACTTTGGCGTGATGGGCAGAAGGCGTGGAATGCTGGCGCTTGAAAGGGCCAGCCAGCTTTCTGACTGGTTCATTCCACCCCCACCTCCCGTTCTTGCAGGTTTGTGGTTGTCTTCAACCCTCTGGAACAAGAACGCCTGAGCCTGGTGACCCTGCTGGTGAACACCCCTCGCGTCCGCGTCCTCGATGAGGAGGGGCAGCCCCTGGCGGTGCAGCTGAGTGCCCAGTGGAGCTCCGCCATGGACATGGCCCCTGATGTCTACCAGGTAGCTTTCGGCAGGCTGGTAGCAGGGAGGCTGTATCAGGGAAGGGGCAGCATTTTTTTGTGGGAAGCCACGCGAGGCTGTTGCATCAGAGCAATGCACAACAACAGTTTGTGTCATAAAAATGTGTGCACTCGCTGAAAGTCATCTGCCACAGTTGCCAGAAGACTGCCTTGCGTCTTCCCCCCGGGGTTGATTGCAGTGGGTCCAGCTGCCCCATTGCCACGATGGATGGAGCCACCAGTCTTCCCTGTTTTTTGTTGTTGTTTAGTCGTTTAGTCGTGTCCGACTCTTCGTGACCCCATGGACCAGAGCACGCCAGGCCCTCCCGTCTTCCACTGCCTCCTGGAGATGGGTCAAATTCATGTTGGTCGCTTCGGTGACGCTGTCCAGCCATCTCGTCCTCTGTCGTCCCTTTCTCCTCTTGACCCCTGTTAGAGCCTCACTAAACCTCATCCATGCATTCCTGTTCCATAGATTCTCCAGGGGTGCTCCTCTGCTTACCTGCTTAGTACAGGCCCCTTGCCAATGGCCCTTTGGCCCATCAGCCATGCATGGTCCGGATCCATGGAGACTGCTGTCCTCACTCTCTCTGCTTTGACCGGCAGGTGTCCATCATCCTACGTCTGCCAGCGCTGGGCCTTAGCATCCTGCAGCTGAGCAAGTCCTTTGACAGCCACAATACCTTCAAGTCTTCTGTCCGCCTCTTCCTGCACGGGCGTGACCTTCCTGTGCACAAGTACGAGGCCTTCCCGGTGCAAGTCATCCCCACTGCCACGGACGACTTCTGCCTAGAGAACCAGCACATGCAGGCGTGCTTCTCAGGGCCCAGTGGGTCGCTCAAGGTGAGTGAGATGCCAGGAGGCAGAGCAGGAGGGATGGTGGGCAGGAAGAGTCACCCTTACCTGGTCTCCCTTTGCTTTTTGGCAGAGCGTTTCTCACGTGGGAGGTGAGCAAGAGCAGAAGCTGAGTAGCCAGTTTCTCGTCTATGGGACCCGGACCACGAAAGACAAAAGTGGCGCCTACCTCTTCCTGCCTGATGGAGAAGCCAAGGTTTGGCTAGGGCTAGGCTGGGTGGGGTGGGTTTTGTAGGGGGGGGGCCCCCCAGACTTGCCCTGGTTGGGTAGGGGATGGGAAGGCTGATATAGGGGAGTGGGCCTTGGCAACTGAACACTTGAGCTTGGCAGAGGGGTGTGGGAATGATATTATTGGCAGTCCTCCTTCAGCTGCTGTTCCAAGGGGCAAATCCTTTCCTTTTTTTCTCGACGATCCGCACAGACTTGAGTTCAACGAGACCGTGTTTCCATTGTGGCTATGCTTGGTCTTCAAGGCAGGAGTGGGCGAAGTGTTGCCTACAGGCTGCATAACCCTCACTAACCCCCTAAATCTTGGGGTGTGTGTGTGTGTGTGTGAAGTTGTCCATTCAAATGGCCAGTTGTGTCCTTTCAAAACAGGAACTGATCAGAAGTACTCTCTATTATTAAATAAACAAGGCTTGTGGTTTTTTTTTTAAGCTGATACACCCAGTCACAACTCTGAAGGGCTTCTGAAGATCAAGTGGATGATATGAGGGGAGAGGAGAAGGCTGTAAATCTCCAATTTGTAATAGCCGTGACTTTTGGAAGTTGCCCAGCCCTTTAGGCTCTGGAATTACTCTTTCATGGGAAAGATGTCATCCCTGTAGATCTCTCACATGGAAAGGCAATAGTGCCCTTGAGTCAGTTTTATGCTCAGACTTCCCTCCCCACTGAGTTCAGCAAAACAGCCTTTTTGCGTCTCCCTGGCTGTCTCCAGGGTCTGATTTTGTAGCTGCTGTTCAAGGGACAGGCAGGTAGAGACATCTGTCTGTCCTTTTTGCTGTGGTGTTCTTGGATGTGGAGATGATCTTCTGGACAGATGGTCTTGCCCTGGAAAGGCGGAGTGTTCCTGGTCTGCAGCATAGGAGAGGATGTGCTGAGGTTGCTTTCCTGCCGTGGACGAAGGCTGGGAGCAAGGATAAGGGAGTTGAGCCTTCTGCAGGATGCGCCACACGCTCTCTTGTGTTTGGGTGGTTCTTTCAGTTCATGCCTTCCAGGATTAGCTGAAATTGTTTGACATCTGCAATGTAGGTTTTGAAGGCTTCGTAGCAACGTTCTGTTTTGGGGCCCGGCTTTTCTGGAGGACATTTCTAACTGGACTTTTTTCATTTTTGTAATGACATGCCCAGTATTATGTATTTATAGAGTATTTAAATTATTTAAATGATTCCTTTAAATGCACTGCTCTGGAACAGAGTGGGTGGGTTAAAAAATGCTCAAGCAGAATTAACTCTTTTCCCCAGCCAAAAGCATCTGCCTGCCTGCCTGCCTGCCTTCATGCTCCCCTTCTTTGCAGCCTTATGTCCCCAAGGAACCCCCCTTGATTCGGGTGACAGAAGGACCTTTCTTCTCAGAGGTGGCTGTTTATTACCAGCATGTCCAGGAAGTGGTCCAGCTCCACAACGTGCCAGGTGAGGTTCTCTGGAGACCAACAGTACTCCGCAGAGGGGGGATCTGGTGCTTGCACGAAGGCCGGAAGGGACTTTCCTTCCAACCCTCAATGGGGTTTGTCTGGTTCCAGGTGTCGATGGGCTGTCCCTGGAGATCTCCTGCCTGGTGGACATCCGAGACCACATCAACAAAGAGCTGGCTCTGCGGTTTAGTACTGACATCGAGAGCAAGGGTGCTTTCTTCACGGATCTCAATGGCTTCCAGGTAGGGGACTGGAAAGGAGGTGAGAGGAGACGAAAGCCGACTGTCGAGACCGACAGGGACTCCTCAGAATTCCTGTGTCCCGGCAGATCCAGCCTCGGCAGCACCTGAAGAAGCTGCCGCTTCAGGCCAACTTCTATCCCATGCCAACCATGGCCTACATCCAAGATGCACGGAGCCGCTTGACTTTGCACACAGCCCAGGCCTTGGGCGTTTCAAGCCTCAGCAGTGGTAAGTAGTGGGCACGCTTACAGCTGGAATGGAGTCCATCCCCTGGACAGCCAGCTGGCTAGACTCGGCAGGAGGATGAGGGAGCATCCGAGCTGGAGTCTCGAGGCCCCCTTCCCCGTGGGCAAGCGAGGCACCTTCCTGGGTTCATGTCCCAGATGGAGAATTGGCACTAGAGAGCCTTTATGTGTGACAGGGCCCCGTCAGTGAGGTGGAGTGCGGAGAAGAGGTGCTGGCTACCTTGGCTGACGATACTCTGAGCGGGACGCCCTCCGCTTGGTGCCAAGCAGGCTTTAGAGGCTGAGATTCGTGTGAAGACATCCTGCGTGAGAAATGTCCTCTCCCTTTCCCCCTGCAGGCCAGCTGGAGGTCATTTTGGACCGGCGTCTCATGCAGGATGATAATCGCGGCCTAGGGCAAGGCCTGAAGGATAACAAACGGACCTGGAACCGCTTCCGGCTGCTCCTGGAACGACATAGCGCTGCTAGCAAGGTATAAAGATGGGGCGAAAGCTGGGCCAGCTGCCCCCAGTGGGAAACGGTTCCTTCCTCATAACATCTCCAACGGGTTTCTTTCCCTTCCCCTGGGAATCCAGCAAACAAAAGAACAGGAATATTGACCTGATCCAGAGCTCTTTGGGACAGACAGAAGCTCCTCTGCAACACACCGGAGGCCTCTCCTCCCCACAGGTCTCGGTCCTGTTGCTCAAGGGGGGGCGGCTGCTTACAGTTTTTCTTGGCCATCATAAGCCTCCCCAAGGGAAGGGCACCCATTCCTTTTGCAAAACACACTGGAAGAAGCAGGTCAGACCTCTTTGAGGGGCCTGAAAGATGGGCTTCCTCTCACAGGATCCTTGTCCTGTCCTAGATGAGGGTCCCCTGAATCTGCGAAGAGCCCTCCTGTTCGTTCTTCCTACAACCTGCAGCTTGAGCCAGATTTTGTTTCTTTTTCTTAGAACTTTTTGCCTCCCCCCCCCCCGCAGTTAGTTTCAGCTGCTCTTCTGCATAGAGGTGTTGGGAGGAGAAATTAAGGATAGCTTTACTCTTTACTCTGTTTACCGTCTTCTGCATAGAGGTGCTGGGAGGAGAAACTAAGGATAGCTTTACTCTTTACTCAGTTTACGGATTTTGGAAAAACCTAAGAAGACAATACTCATTTAATCCATCCAGTTAACAGGATTTCTTTGCAAATGGGAGTGTTGGAGATGAAACAAATCCCAAGGTGTTTCTCTGGAACAACCACAACAGGAGGGAAGAATGGGGGGGGAAATGACAGATTGTCCAGGGAAAGCTTAAACACGAAAGGAGATGCAAGAGGGAGGCAGAGAAGCCACCAAATGTTATTATGCAGAAATGAGAGGCCTCATGTAGCTTCAACCAGGACAGAGAGATACAGTGGTGCCCCGCATAGCGACATTAATCCATTCCAGGATTAATGTCGCTATCCAGATTTGTCGCTATGCGGGGGAAAAAACCCATAGGAACGCATTAAACTCCGTTTAATGCGTTCATACGGGGAAAAAACTCACCAGTAAGTGAAGATTCCCCCATCCGGCCGTCCTTTTCGCTGCCCAGTAAGCGAGGGCAGGGCGCAAAAATGCTGCGGACGGCCATTTTGCTGATCCTGCGGCCATTTTGGAACCGCCAATCAGCTATTTTCTAAACATCGCATTGCGATCGCATTAGCGATTGCAAAAAACACATCGCTATGCGGATCCGTCGTTAAACAGTGCGCTCATTATGCGAGGCACCACTGTACAGGCTGTGGAAGCCCTGTGCAGTGGCAGGGGGAGGCCTGCTAGTGGCACTCTTGCATGGAATCTCCAGTCTGCCAGGGCTGAGGGGGTGACCTTTCCTTTTGATAATGTGGCTATTCTCGTTGCCCCTCTCCCTGATTCCCCCCCCCCCAGAGCTCCAGCTTCTTTTCCAAACTGACTTCCGTGCTTAGAGACTTGGTCTTTTCCAGCAACAAGGCTGACAGTCGAGAGGTAACGCTCAGCCCTGTCTTGTGTGTTAGCTGGTGGTGACATAGCTGGGTCCAGCAGCCTTGTGTGTGTGTATATATTTTAGTCCAGCTCATAGATTGGGGCCCTAGCATAGAGAGACTTGAATGTCTTCGGGGGTACCTGAGCCCAGGCCAGCCTCCTCCACTCACGGGCCCTTGGGGGCCTCTCCGTCGCCTTCTTTGTCCATGCAGGTGCAGGAGACCCCACTTGTGAGCTTCCCATCTCTGCTGAGCCACATGACCTCCATGTACCTAAACATGGAGGTGCTGGTGATGCCCGTTTCCCAGGAAAAGCCACCTCCTCCCACCCTGAGGTCATTTGTGCCCCTTTCAGCTACCATGCCCTGCGACTTCCACCTTCTCAACTTGCGCACATTACAAGGAGAGGTGAGTGCCGGCATAAGCAGAGCTGAGCAAACGAAGCCAGTCCTCGGAGGACCGCTGTTGGCATCCATCACCTTCTTGGCTGCCGCTGGTGCTATTAGCCCTAAACTTTGTCTGTGGCGGAGGGGGTGTGTGTGCATAATCTTCCATGGAACATCTCTGCTTTTCCTCCAGGATGATTCCTTGCCTTCAACTGAGAGCGCTCTAATTCTGCACCGCAAGGGCTTTGACTGCGGCCTGGAAGCCAGGAACTTGGGCTTCAACTGCACAACCACCCAGGGCATAGTAGGTCTAACAAGCTTGGTGTCTCTGCCTGGTGGGAGAGGGGGCAAGAGTGAGGATCGTTGGGGGTGAGCATTAGGTCGGGGGCTTTCCAGAGCCTGTTGTTTGGCTTTGCTCTGCGAACTGAGGAGTGAAATCTCTTCTCTGGAAGCAGGGCAGGAAGAGCAGGGACTCTTCCAAGTTGGCTGGCCTTGGCTCCTGCCCTTACCTCTCCTCTCTTGCCTCCTAGCTGTCCCTCGGTGGCCTGTTCCAGGGTCTTGAGCTGGTCTCCCTACAGCCCACCTCCTTGACGCTGATGTACCCCCTCGCCCCTTCATCTCCCAACAGCACCATCGTCCACCTGGACCCCATGGAGATTGCCACTTTCCGTCTTCGCTTTGGATAGCGCCACGGCCGGGCATTCTGGGAGTGGGACTGGTCATCAGCGCGTCTTACTCGGCCTGCATCCCAGCCCATTCGGTGTTGCCCTGTAGGCTGTGACACCGGGCCAGGGGCTCACAAGGCCTGATAAGACTCAGTGGAACTCTTCTTATTTATTGGTCCACCCTTCAAGAAGCTGCAGAAAAAGACACCCAGGAGGTTATGTGGTCAATGCGCAGAGGCTTCACCACGCACCCCTCCGAACTAGTTGGTCCCTAGAAGTGGGGGATGCGGGAATCCCTCCTGCCCAGCCCCTCCCATTCTCAGGGAACGAGATGTGTGTTCTCGCCATGCCTGCCCTTGGAGGCCCCGTCAGATGCCTCACAAGCAGGGAACCAGGACTTGAAGATGTAGCAAACACTGGAAGGGGGGAGGCAAGGTACGTGTGAGCTTCCAAGAGCTCTGGACAAACTTTGAGAAAACAAAGCCCTCCTTTGAAGCCTTTGTCTCCAGAGTTATGTTTGCGGTCCTTCTGTAACCTCTAGCCAGGATGCTGCTGGTGAATGAGGATGGGAGGCGGGTCCTGGGGAATGGGGAGGCCTTCTTACTGACTGGTCCACCCAGAGGCCCACGCTCATGAGGGTCTGGCAGCCTGTCACAGCTCCTTTACAAATCTGGAGGTGCTTTGCATTCTTCCGCAAAGGAAGTGCCTGACATACTTGGAAGGTGCTATCTTATCCCAGAGAGGTTTGTGGTGGTTGGGGGGCAGAGATCGCCTCAGTAGGAACTAAAACACACTTTGCTCAAGATCCTGCCTGAGGATTTGTGACGGAGCCATGTGGCAGCGGTGGGCTCTGCTGCTGTTCCAGTCTGAGGGACTCAGAATTTCGGTGGGTTGCTCTTTGGACAGGTAGGTGCCTTCTGCAGACCAAGAAACAGAAGCTGAAAGTATGGCTTGTCTCAACTGTTCTGCTTCCTAGCCAAGGTGGGCTCAACGTTCTCCTCCTTCACCCTCCCTACCTATTGGCATTCACTGCAAAAGAATCCTGGCCCACCTGTTAGCTTCAAGCAATGCACATGAACTTAGGAACACCCGAAAGCATACAGCCCAGTTTTTGAGGCTGTACAGATGAGGGTTTTGTGCCAAACCTTTCCACCAGGTTATGTTGTCAAGGAGGACTTTGAAAAGTGCAGAGGAACTTTTAGGAACCTCGTCCCTCCAGGCCAGTGTCCGTCTTCAGATCAGAGACGTAAAACTCCTCTTGGCCTGGAAGGGGCAGAAGCAGCACAAAGAACAGGCTTTCTAGGCCCTAGAGCTGTGCACCTTGCAAGACAGATCTTGGCAGAGCCCATCCAGAGAGCTTCTGTGGCTTTATGAGGATTTGAACCCGAGTTCTAGCCCGACACTCTATCCACTACATACACCACACTGGCTACACAAAGAACAGGCTTTCTAGGCCCTAGAGCTGTGCACCTTGCAAGACAGATCTTGGCAGAGCCCATCCAGAGAGCAAGTTAAAGATTTGCTCAAGACTAGAGACGGTGGGTGATGCCATGCTGCAGACATCAGAAACAGATCCGAGTCTGGGCCTGCAGAAACAAGACTAGGAAGACTGGAGGCCAGGGCACTTCTTTCTGTGGGTGTGAATGCTGGGGCTCCTACTGAATGCTTTGCCACAGGAATGGTAGCTTTGGGTTGAGCCACTGAGGATGGAAGAAACGTTGACTCCTGCAGGATGGAGATGGGAACCCCCCCCCCCTTGGAGAAGGTCGCTCTTGGATGTAGCTGCCTGGGCCTTGCCTTTAGCAAAGAATGCACGCCAGGGCACAATGAGAAGTGGCTGCTGTTGGCTTTTCTTAAACTGCTTGGAGCACGTGCCAGGAAGCCCACCTCTCCTGCCAGCTACACAAGTCAGTGGGCCATCTAGGAGCAAAAGCAAATGGCCTGGCAGATTCTTTAGGGTAGGAAAAAAGGAATGACTCCCCGCAGTGGTCCCCAACCTTGGGCCTCCAGATGTCCTTGGACTACAACTCCCAGAAGCCTTCACCACCACCTCTGCTGGCCAGGACTTCTGGGAGTTGTGGAGGCCCAAGGTTGGGGACCACTATAGTAAAGAGTCAGTTTCCAGGGAAGAGAAGGAAAGCAATGCAAGCTCTCGCAGAAGCTGTAAAGTGTATGAAAACCGGGAAGGGACTTTGGAGAAACATCCACAACTTCCATGAGGCTTTATGCACCTGCAAGGGTAGGGTAAGATGCTTTTAAGGCAGAAGGTCCCATAAATAATTCCCAGCTTCTCTGGCTAATTCATAAGTGAGAGGGAAAAACATTTGCTTGGCACCCAGGAAAGCAATTCTAAAAAGAAATGCAAAGCTAGATGTTAATTCAAGTTAGTTCTGACCTATGATTACTGTTAATTGGGTTTTGAGCTACAGTACGTGAGCTGTTTATAGGGTAGCTTGCCACTGCCAGCCTGCAGTGAGTTTCTGTGGCTTTATGAGGACTTGAACCCCAGTCCGAGTTTTAGCCTGACACTCTATCCACTACATACACCACACTGGCTATCATGAAGTTAGGTGCACCCTGTTAAAACAAGGCATTGTTAATGTATTAATCTTTGATTCAGAGATACGTGATGATAAGATTATTCTGGCAAGAACAATGCAACAGGAGATTCTCTCAAAACACGAGTCTTTTACTGATGGCTTGCTTACCACACTGGATCCAGAAACATCAGCAAGCAAAACCCACTATAGAAAAGTCGGTACAGTGGTGCCCCGCTTGACGACGATAATCCATTCCAGCAAAATCGCTGTACAGCGAAATTGTCGTCAAGCAAAAAACCCATTGAAATCCACTGAGAACTGATCAATGCGTTCCAATGGGAGAAATACCTGATCGTGAAGCAAAGATCCTCCATAGGGCAGCCATTTTGCGATGCCTGTAAAGCAAAGAATTGGTCCTGAAAACAGCGGGGAGCCATTTTGCAACCAGCAGATCAGCTGTTTCTAATCGTTGTCTAGCAAAGAAATGGTTCCCGAAGCAGGGAACTACTCATCGTCAAGCAAAAAAACCCCATATAAACATCGTTTCGCGATCGCTATAGTGATCGCAAAAAACCATTGTAAAGCAATTTGTCGTCAAGCAGGGTAACCGTCTAGCAAGGCACCACTGTATAATGAGGAATACAAGAAGGATGCAGAGAAGGCACCCAAAAAGCCAACCATGCCCTGATACTTAAACTAACCTTCTCTTCATTTCTTCAGTTTACAAGCCATGATGGAGATGTATAATCTTCAGGCTTAAAAGGAAGGTGCCTCAAAATGCCAGATGCAGGGGAGGGGTAGCTATATTTCATTGTCTCGTGGGCCCCCAGAGGCATCTGGTGGGGCCACTGTGAGATACAGGAAGCTGGACTAGATGGGCCCTTGGCCTGATCCAGCAGGGCTCTTCAGAGGTTCTGCCTTGTCATGTAGTAAGAAGCTACTCTTTCCGATCTGAACAGATTGAATCAACTGCATAGATCAGTGCCGCCCCTTCCGTGTCATGAAAACAACCAAGAGCCTCGTGGAACCTTTCAAAGGCAATCAAACTCTTATGGAGAGAAGCCCATCTATTGTTTCTGACAAAGTGGGCTCTCAAGTTATGAAAATCCTTGCCTCCCTGTGCAGCTTCCCTCCTTCTGGAGTAGCTGCTGAGCTGAGACACTTTCTTTACTAGCAGCTGGAGTAGCTGCTGAGCTGAGACACTTTCCTTTCTCTACTAGCGACACCAGTGCTAAGGTGCGTTCAAGGCGAGGCCATGGCCTCCAGGACCATTGTGGTTTTTGAAAAGTCCTAAGCAGAAACTCAATATGTGTGTTCAATCCGTGATCTCTGTTTCCCCTATTGCAACACTTGAGGCACCATGTCTGGTAGCAGAGTCCCATCCCTAATGGATCCTCCCCACCCCCTGCCTGGCAAGGTCCCCGTGGAGGCAAGCTTGTAAGTGCAGCCAGGCCTAATAGCTCCGGGAGGTGCTTGATGGTGCTCGGTAATGGATGCGGGAGCCAGCCAGGTCCATGTGGTTTCTTTGCTTTCCTTCCTTCCCCGGGAGGAGACCGTCAGAGCTGCCTCCGCCCTTAGTGGTGCTGCTGCTGCCAGGAAGATGCTGCCTTCGCTCAGCCTGCTGCTGTTGCTGGCCTTTCTTGGGACAGGTAGGGTACCTCTCCTCCGGTTCTCCTCCTTTCCCCAAGGGCTGTCCTGCTGTTGCTCCAGCTTGCAATGCAAAACCTTGTCTGAAAGATCTTAATCTGGGTGCCGACATGCTGTTTTTACCTGGTACTTTCTGTGCCCCCTCTTCAGAGTCAACCAGCTTCAAAACCACTTGCCTGTCCTCCCCCGTCCCCCCCACCCCGGGGCCTGGGCCAAGCCCTGCTTGTGGGGAACTGTTCACTCTGGGCAGCGAAGGGGAGGTGGTGGAGAAGTCCTTGGTTATGGACATCAACGCGAGGCCTCCTCCTCCTCCTCCTCCACGCCCAGCCCCTGTTTGCCTGCAGGCAGCTGAGGGTGGGAGAACTTTCCAAACCTTTCCTTCCCTTCCTGCATCTCCTCAGCCAGTAGCCCCATCTTTGGTCCTTCACGAGAGGCCACTGGAGGGCAATGGGCACCCTAGGGGCACTTTCCTTTCTCTCCTCCTGGAGGAAGCCATCCCAGTTGTGTTGGGAGACGACAACAGAGAGGCTCTTCTTGCCTTGCCCAGCTCCCGGGGCGGGGGGAGGGAGAGGCGGTTTGGGACCAGCACCTTCCTCTCCTGGGACAGTTTTCCCTCCCTGCTCGCATGGCTTCCTTCCTTCCTTCTATCCTCTCTGAAGCAGCCTGGAGGATCAACTGGCATTAAGGGGGGAGAGGGAGCAGCACTCCA